AGCCTTCTGTTATGGTGAGTACCACTTACAATGATGTAACCATGTTCACTTTGAGAAGTGTGGATCAAAGTTGCAAGTCTTTGCCTGTTTGGAAGCAATTTCTTAGCAAGAAGCAAATCTAAAGCCTAAGGTAAAATGAAGAATTATACTTTTCATCATGGCTTTTCCATTTGTCCAGGAGCACCAAAAGGAGAAGAGAGCAAAGACATGTGCTGCTGTCATGCTTGTCCACAGCCAAACAGCACTTCATGCACCCAAKGAGCAACTTCTTTCTTAGCTCAAGACAGATATTGTGAAGAACATCCTGTGGCAAGAGAGAGCCAGATCACAGATGGTAATTCTGAATGTAGTTGATAAACTGTCACGCTAGAGGCAGCTTCTGCCCTCCTCTGAACTGGAGTTTACCAAGACAACATCGGTTTAGAGAGATCCTCTCTCAGCAAGAGTCCTGGATCTCTGGTTCAAACCTGTCACCCMTTTACATAAGCCTGTGTTGTTTTTTTGTGGTTTTGGGAACTTAGCTAACTTACCAGAGACCCTAATTATAGTATCAATAGTTACAGGGTCATTATCCCCCAGGGGTCAGTACTGGGCCCAGGACCGTTCAATTTGTTCACCAGTGACTTGGACGAGGGCACAGAGGGCACCCTGAGCCAGTTTGCGGACGATACCAAACTGTGTGGAACAGCCGACACTGAGAAGGGCTGTGCTGCCATTCAGAGGGACCTGGAGAGGCCGGAGAGTTGGGCCGAGGGGATCCTCCTCAGGTTCAATAAGGACTAGTGCAGGGTCCTGCACCTGGGGAGGATTAACCCTAGGCACCAGGACAGATTAAGGGTTGACCTGCTGGAAAGCAGCTCCACAGAGAGGGACCTGAGAGTCCTGGTTGATTCCAAGTTAACCCTGAGGCAGCAGTGCCCTCGTGACCAAGAAGGCCAGTGGGATCCTGGCTGCATCAGGAGGAGTGTTGCCAGCAGGTCAAGGGAGGTGATTCTGCCCCTCTACTCAGCTCTGGTGAGGCCGCACCTGGAGTACTGTGTACAGTTCTGGGCTCCCCAGTATAAGAGGGATGTGGAGCTCCTAGAGAGGGTSCAGCAGAGAGCAACAAAGATGATTAAAGGGCTGGAGCTTATGAAGACAAAGTGAGTTTGGCCTGTTTAGCCTGAAGAAGAGAAGACTGAGAGGAGATCTGATTGATATGTATAAGTACCTGAGGGGTGAATGTAGGGAGGAAGAGGCCAAGTTCTTCTCAGTGATAGCTAGTGATAGGTCAAAGGGTAATGCCTACAAGTTGAAACACAGGAAGTTCCATCAATATGTGAGGAAGAACTTCACTGTGWGGGTGTCAGAGCCCTAGAACAGGCTGCCCAGGGAGGTTGTAGAGTCTCTTTCTCTGGAGGTCTTCCAAACCCRCCTGGATGCCATCCTGTGCCCCGTGCTTTCGGTGTCGCTGTTTGAGCAGTGGGATTGGACTAGATGGACCCTTCCAACCTCAGCCCTTCTAGAAGGTCCTTTCTAGAGGTCCCTTCCAACCTCAACCATTCTGTTAGGGCCAGTTCTACATGTTGCTCCCCGTTCAACAGAGTAGAAAAGAGCGGTTAAGATGAGTGTCTGCAGACTTTTATTATTTGTGATAATCTGGACTGCAGCCATGTTTTTCCATGCCAGTGTTACGTATTTCACCGCCTCTCACTTTTTCCACCTTCCAGAGTCTGGACATAATTTTTGCCACCCCATTAAATGTTAATTGAGTGGGCCTCTCCCCGCTCTGCCACTTCACACATCTCCAATTTCTGTTGTTGCAGATTTGTGTTTCCCATTGCATCAGACCAGTCCAGAATAGCTCTTTGGGTAACTCCTTCCTGCTTTCAGGTAGATCCATTCTTCCTAGGAGCCACAGAAGGATGATCTTCCTCTGGAATAGACACATAAACTATGTCCTGGGGACTTYTGAGGGATGCCTAGTATTTTCAGGAGAACTTTGATTTTGATGCTAATCTTTTGACAGTCATATTAGTCTTTGGTCCTTTGAATAGCTTCTCATCTGCATCATCTTGTTTTTTTTTTCTTGTCCTCAGGACTTAGTGCTYAAACTGTCCCTGATCCAGAGTGTCTCAAGGGTCAGCTACATCCTTCATGGATTCAACAGCTTAGAGAGCTTCATGTGCACTTCCAAAAGGCTGCTGCAGGTCATTCTGTTCATGAATGAAATGGATTGAGAGAAGCTGACTGTAAGAAGAGTTCCTGTTTTTGCAGTGGGTAAGATGCATGTCCTCAAGGATGTTGCCCATGTGTTTTGAAAGGCTTTGGGCAAACCTAAGAACCCCTGAAGCCCGGTCACCGGTGTGCTGGGACCCTTCTGTAATGCCACCTTGTGGACAGTCTCTGGAAAGAGCTCTGTTCTCTCTGGAGCTGGTGTCTGGGAGAAGTATGCGTGAAGGCTGTTAGTTAAAAGTGCAGAAGAGTCTGKTTTTTTTGCTGAAGGAGGGTCATCTTCTTTCATACCTCCTGACTTCTCTATATTTGTCTCTGTAACCTGCAGGGCTTCATGAAACAGGAATCCCTCTGTTGTCTGTCTCCTCCTGGTTGTAACAAGGCATTTCTTGTAGTATAACATTTGAGGTGAGACCTTTCCTCCTGTGTGTTGGGTGTTGTTCTGCATGTCACAGAAGAATTGACTGATGCTTCACAGTTGACAAGTGTCCACAATTCTAGGCCCTATCAGAGCTTTTGTATTTCTTGCTGTCTCCATTATCCCTGAACATGTCCACAAAGTGGTATTACTTCAGTGACAAGCTCTTGTCTATTGGTGATGTTTATTTCTAGACATCAACTCTCTTTCTGCACCATCCTTCAAAGGCCTCTGCTTTCCACCCGACCCTGTACACTTTCCAATGCTCCTGCCTTTATTGCAAGGTTATAGAGTGTTGTCCCCTTACAGAATAAGGAGTTGTTTCTACTCTCTCTTCAGGAGAGGAATCTATCACACTTGGTGGAACGCTGGGAACTGTTTTCTRAAGCTCATACAAGGAGGATAAGAGTCTCCTTGGAAAAAGCTTGARAAAGCCTGAGGCTTGCAGTGTTCAGTGACTACAGTGCCAGGGCCTGCCCCTACCCATGATGCCAGCCTCTCTCCAGGGCTGTGTCCCTCTTATATGTGGGCAGCAGGACTTGCTGACCTGCAGGGAAACAGAACAGATGATAGCATTTCTCTGACTGTTGTCCACAGGACAAATGTTATTTCCCTGAATAGATTCTCTGTCCACAATTTGTAGCAGGGAAGGATTCTCCCAAATGCGAGAAATGAGGAGGCTTGAGGCAAGGAACAGTACTGCTGGAAAGCTGGTTTCACCTGGAAGGATCTGAGGATCCTTGCAGGGGCGCTGCCTGGTGTCTTCAGAGGGTGTGGAAAACACCCTATGCCTGGATGTTGCATTCTTTCAAGCACAAAGAATGATTCAGAGTGCTCTGAATGAAATATGATGGTGTATTTTGTGTGTGTGAGAAGGTAAGCTGGGAACAGAAGTGAGCAAAAGCGTGTACAATAACAGAGAGCACATTAGTGTGCACAGGAGAGCAAGGAACACATGTTCATTGAGAGCGAGGACCTGTGCAGAGTGGTGAGGATGAAGTTGAGGACAAGAGCTTGACAAATCATCAGGGAAGCAGGATTTGCTCATGGACTGAACAGCTGTGTCTAGCTTGAAGAGAAACCCTCAGAAGAGCTTCAAAGAACTTTGTGTTTTTCCCTTGTGCCACCCAGGTATCAGAAGACTTGACAGTCTTTTAGGATCAGCTGCCAGCTGCTTATCAGGACAGTCTGAAAGAGTTTCTCTTTGATGCAGTACCAGTCTTGTCCTGCTGTTACCCAAGGCAGTGATCAGCAGACTTCTGCCCATGAACAGGTAAGCTCTCCTCCCCTGTCTTTAAAGGAACACAGAGGTACCAAYCACAGCCTGACAGTTCTAGAGGAGATTCTGTTATGCAATTGACTTTTCTTCCTAAGAAAGAAAGTCAGAATATTGCCAAAATATTTGCTTGTACTTTGCCAGGAACTCGGGCTGCTGAAGGTCCACAGTGGTCAGGAGGAGTGTTTTGACATGTCTTTGAGGGGTTGTAGGTCCAAAAGCATGAGGAATCTTGTGTAAACCTCTTCAATAAATGCCCACATATAGCTGATAATGCAGCTATGACTGCAAATCAACCTGCTGAGCTCTCTTGCATGGCTACGGGTTGCATGGCAGAGCCTCCCCAAGTAGGGATGCTGCTCAAGGTAAGGTTACTCTGCAAGGTTAGGAGATGTGTTCCCTACCTGTGACACATATTCAGGAAATGACTAACAGTGCACAGAAACTCTGCAAATTTTGCTAAGTTGCATCTCTGACTGATCGGGCACATAATCCATTAGACATAAACCACTGACCGAGTCTGGGACTCAGACTGGGCCCAGCTGCACCAGGCTCTTCTGAGGAGCTTGGAAAGCAAGGGGTCCSTATTCTGTACCCCACGACTCAGCAAAACGGTCTCCTGGACATCTGACCTCTCTCTCCATGTAGTAGATAACTGAGTGGACCCTGTAATSAAATTTTGCTAAAACACCATTTTATCTGCCATAAAACTTCGGTAAATCACATTTATTTCAGTAAAACATATCACTACTTTTCTCTTACAAGTGAAATGCCTGCAATAGAAGRCCATATTGACTATTTTCTTTACAGCATAAAACCTAACATAATGAAACGGTAGATGATTTCCTGACAGATATGTTAAGAATTACYATAGAAAACTGATGTGGGTGAAACCATAATAGCACAGGGGCAGTGGTGGAAGGAAGGACTGTAGAGGTGATACTGCTGTCACTATTTTGTGACACAGAGACTATACGTGTGACTTTATTTTCCCTTCCTATTTTGCCTTTGTATAGAAACTCTTCAGGGAAAAGAATATACAATTTAATTAAAAGCTTAAAGCTGTATTTTTTAACACCCAGAAACTCCTATAGTAAAGGCTACTACCACAGAAAATTTGGAAATTTCTACGCTAAGTGCCAGAACCTTTTTTGTTGTGTCACAATTCCATTGCACTCATTTTGGTTCCATTGCATTATAAATAACAAATTCATCCATTTACATATATGACAGGGTACAGAAAAATTCTCACAGACTACGCTTGCATATGGAAAGTATCAGAATTTGCCAGCAGTGGGACTCCTGGACACAGGAATGAAGCATGTATAACCAGCAAGAAAATTTCCGCAGGTCAGCAAATGGACATCTAAAACCAGGTGGGTTCTGGGTACTAGAAAAAAAAGGGKTTAAGGACAAAAGCACAAATAGTTAACTAGTCACCATTCTCRTCAATTGCAATAGCAGGAAATAACATGATCATCAAGTACCAAATAGGAAATATCTTGCAGAAAACTGAAGTTTATTTATGCACTCCTTTTTACTTCCTAGAACTCATATTTTGTTGTCATTTGGGCATCCAACAGCAGTCTCTAGCCATGCTGGATACTAAGTGAAATTTAAGGACTGAGCAGTGGCAGCAAGACTTGTGTCTATTTTGTGTAGGAGCAAAAGAGGAAAGAACTATCGAGTTCTATCTGTGCATGCTTGCTCTTTAAAACAATCTCTATTATGATCATTATTATCCTCRCCACAGGAAGCTCTATAAACAGCTAAATTACCCACACTATCCATTTCCTTTTACAGTTTTACCTGGGTATATGCTTTCTTGCTATATCTTAAAAAGAGCCTTTAAATGATTTTTAACCCTTTTGAAGCCTTCTTTAAAATGAAAAACAAAACAACAAAAAACGCAGCTTCTGTTGGTAAGATGACAAAGGATTTTCTCCTTCTATTTGACATGACTTATCAAAGAGGTCAGAAGTAGTACCCTCCATCTATTCGGCACACAAATCATATTTCAGCATTTTCCTGCTGTARGAGATCGGGACTGGATAGAATGCCTCATCCACTGATGAGGATAAATCAAGGTTATCTACATATGACAGTGGATGCAGTAGATGCGTACTTTCAGAGCAAAGTGGTTTTCAGAAGATCCATTTCATATGAAACTTTCAGGACAAATAACATTTTGCCACCATTTATCCCATTTTTTTCCTGCAGGAGAAAAAAAAATGAAAAAAAAGTGAATTGTGCATGTTAGGGACTGCTGAATCCAGCTGGCATTGGTCCTGCCTCATCACTATTGACCTGCCCAGCAGTCACTAGTCTGGCCCTGACTCTCCCTTGTACACTGACTTCCCAGCTTGGCCTTGGATGTATCTCATTGCCATGAACTTGTCTGATGATTTTCTGGGCCATTACTTGAGCCCAGCTGCCACCCCCTGGCCTGCTCTGCTTGGTCCCCAGCTCCCCTTGCCTGGGGTCTATGGGACAGGTCTCTGCCCAACCAGCCACACTATCCCCCTCAGATCCCAACTCCCTGCTGACTTACAGTGCTCCATTGCACAAGGTGTACTTGTCCTACATACAGTTGGAACAAGCCAGCAGACTCAGTTTAAGCTGTAGAGGAAAAAAAAAAAAGAGAGACGTAGAGCAAGTGATGTGGTCAAAACCACCAGCCAGGAAATGATGACTAGAGCAAAGAAACTAATGACTGATGAGTTAGCTGTGATTAATGTTAGTTCATAACAGGGAGCAGCTGAGTACTTAAAGGAGACTGGGAGTCTCTCTGGAATTTACATCAAAAGCAGCCACTCCATGCTTACCAACAAATCAGACTTCACTTCTACTACTACATCAGGGCAGAGCAGCTGTGGGGGACAGGCTGTGAACTGGTGATGGGTCCTTTCCACCTGGAATTACTAAGGATGCTCATCAGCATGCAAAGTAGTCCCACAGATTTCAGCTGAATGTATTTTAAGAACTCTTAAGTTCTTGTATTTTATGTGTATTTTAAGAACTAAACCAAATGACTGCAGAAGAGAATGGACATGTTTTTTAACTACAGCACACTGTGTGTTTTGCAGCTTTGTGATGGCAGTGGCTTTGTTGCTGCCACTGTGTTGGGTGCCTCTAACACGTGGATTTTCATCGCAGTAAGAGCAGAACATAAAAAGTTTGCTCCCTAAGCCCGTGTCTAACTTCTTCATTTAAGTGGGGAAGGGGTTTGGGCAGTAGAGCACTAGACGCATCAGTACCAGCTCCCTCCAGCAGAGGCCAGATCGCACACAGTTTGTAGCCAAAACAGAACAGAGCATCTGGTTTAAAAAGCCTCAATCTTACCGGTTTTTTTTTTTTTTTTTTTTTTTTTTCTTTGGGACTGCTGGGAGAGAAAATACAGAAATATTAATACAATGGGAAAATATAACTCACCAAGAATGCCAAAAGGGCCCCTGCTTCTATTTAATGTACTGTGTTCTGTTTCTTGATCTGCACCTATCAGGAATTTAATGCAGGTTGAAAAAGCTTAGTACACTACAGTAAGCTGAGTAAACAGGAAATGTGGATAAGAAGCAAAATAATTACAGTAAGTTTGAAGCTTACCTCAGTTCTCTGATCCGTGTATACTGAAAGGAAACTTTATTGAAACACAGAATTTTACCAGATACTGCATATAAAAGATACTGTAGTCACTGGGTTTTTTCTTTTTTAGACAGGATCACAGATAAAACCTATGGCTTTGAAATTGCAGGTAATTCACTAAATCCTAGAGAGGAAAAAAAGAAAGCCTCATATATTGAATTGTCTCTAAAAAGCTTTCATTTGTTCCTCTAAAATACACAACTTCAAGCAGGAGGGGAAATGGAGCATTTTGTGACCGGCAGGAAGGCAGTACTGAGGACCTAGGATTTAGGGAGCGAATGGACATGAACCATAAGCAACACGATGGCCGAGCTGCAAGATGGAGCTGCCACAGATGAAAGGGAGCACACCCYCTGAATACACGCGGAGGGAGGCACATGGGGACGGCCGCGTTGCAGGCTGCAGCTCCTGACGCTGCCTGCGAGATCTTGGCTGCAAAACAGACCAAAATTAAAATACACATATCTGGAGAAGGAGAAGGAGAAATACACATATTTGGAGAAGGTCCTGACACTGCCTGCAGAACAGACCAGAATTAAAATAAAATACATGTGTCTTGAGAAGGATGGAGGTAGCAATGCTGGTCACCTGGTCACTGAAAAAAATAAAAGGCATATTTCCAAGGAAAGATGTGAATACTGCTGAAATATGCTTCCTACATGTCTGTATGGGTATTCTGGGTTTAAATACCATGAAAGGCACCACCAGCAGCTTCCTGGACTGCCAGCTGAAAGCTGTTCTTGCTGCTTGCACCTTTACTGCAAGGAGTTTTTTTTTTTTTTTTCTTTTTTTTTTCTTTGATTATTTAGCAATAGGTTAACATCAGAAGTGAAACACTGGTTATTTCAACTCAAGGCAACAGAGCCAAACCCAACCTTTATTGACCCCAAAACGGAGGCTCAACATGAAGCCCCCCCGTCATCCCTATTTTCTGCGGCTGAGCCCGTAGGTGGGGGGACGATCAGGAGCGTGGCCGTGGTGGGGAGGGCACTGCGGCCGCCAAGACCATGGCGGGGAAGGCGAAGTCCCCAGAGGAGGAGGAGGAGGCGGCGGGGAGGGCGGCGCAGGGCGGGCCGGCTCCGAGGGACGCGGCGCCGCCATTGGCCCCATGGCGGCGGCCGCCCGGCCCGCGCCGCCTTCCCCGCCTCAGACGAGCGGAGCGGTGCGGTGCGGCGCGGTGCGGCGCGGCGGGCAGCGCTCGGGACGAGGTAACGTGGAGGCGGCGGTAGGAGACGGGCGAGCTGAGCCGGGCAGCTGAAATGGCCTCCGGGRCGCGGAGCAGAGCGGGCAGCTCCCTCGTGTCGCACCGGGGCGGACGGGGGTTGCGCCAGGGAGGGACCTGCGGGGCCGGTGCGCCTTGTCAGGGCTTCCCCCAAGCTTAACTTGGGAGAGAGGCGTTAAAACATCCCTAACGTTCCTAACGTTGAAAACGTTCTAACAGTCCCAAGGAAATTCAGAAATTTGTTTTATTTGGTGGAAGGAGCCACCTTCCAAGCGTGGCAGCAGGTTTTGGGGACAAAACTTTGTTGTTTTGCCAGGCATCTTTCTGATTTATCCTGCAGGGATATTCAGGTTTCATCTTTTCCCCTTGTGCTGCAGGATTGTTTTTTGTTTCACCAAAGGCAGCTGCCTTTCCTGCCTGCTCTTMAGCATTTGCTCTTATCTAATAGATTTTGCTATTTACACATGTTTTCCTGTGCACCATTTGGCCAAGCGTCTTTTAAGTCTCTGCCTATTTGCACTCGCGTGTTATTAGAATATTTACATGCAAACTCTGTTGTAAAATACCACTAGTATTTCATAATATACTATTACAATGCAAAATATTACAAAATATTTATATACTGTGACTGGTCTTGCTGTGTTTGTGAGCTTATGTCTGGGTTTAAGGCAAGCAAATACTAATTATCTTGCTTAGTTGGCTTTGCTTTATGGGTGCAGCAAGGCTCTGCTCTGGTTACAAAACATATCTTTGAAATTTCTGAAACTTTCATTGGACCTTTCTCACGTTGAGGAAATATTCTCCAGCATCTCCTGCACTCAAAAAAAAAAAAAAAAAAAAAAAAGTGCATTATCAGTATCACCATCAGGCTTTTAAACTTCGGTGAAACAGGTTGCTGTGTTCTTGTTCTCATGTGCTCACGCAGGCCAGAATATACAGCTCAGCTGAGTCATCCATCGCCCTCAAAGTCAGTGTTAGAAAAGTGAATTTTTCCTTCCTTGAAAGCACCAGGCAGAGACCATGGACAGATCTACRTTTTGAAGGAGACTCCTGTTGGTTTCGGAGGAGGCACTTGCTGGGTTTCCAGCAGCAGGACTGCTCTTGTGTAGGAGCTGGAGAAAACTTTGGATGCTAGTGCAGAAAGAGACCTATCAACTGTTTCATCCAGCAGCAAAGATGAACCAGGAAGCTCAGCTGTGAGTCAAAGGAGTTGTTTTCTATTCTGTATTGAGTTTCCTATACCCAGACTGAAAGGAATCTGCTTGGCCAGTGCTGAATAGAATAAAGATACCAAATACTTTCTTTTATGTAAAACTGACTTTGCACAAACAAATTGCTAAGAAAATACTATTTGCATGGAAGCTTAAATGTGGTTCTTACTGTTTTTTTCTACTGAACAACTATTTCTTCTATGGTTAGAAGTGATGCCTTTGTTCTACAGAAGTTCATTTAGGAGTTCGTTTCAGTAGGTCATTAGTTCATTTAGTAGCAATTTCTTTTGCAGTATAATAAAGAATTTGTTGTTCTGCACAGCAAGTGCCCTTCATCTGAGGTGGCAACAGATAACTGCTGGAAGCAACCTTCTTGTGCTTAAAAGTGCACTTAAGGTCAGCTTATTTAAACTTGAACAAGCCAATTTAAGGAAGTTCCAATGCTTGAACATTGAAATACTGCTGTATGTCAAGATGATGATGATGTAGTGTTTGCCACATTAGCAGTCTCCAATTCTTTAGCTTATTGGGATGTTAAGTAACATGTGGGTGATTTTTAGCAGAGCTTATCGTGCTTCATTCTTGTGGTGGGGAGTCATTCAGATTCACCTGGACACAACAACTGGCTGTGCTAGATTCTTACTTCATTGTATAAGGTTTTATTGATATATGTAACCTGACTCCATTTACTGCATTGAGACTGTCAATGGAAAGTGATATAGTGGTGGGTAGGGAAATGGAAATGAATATTTCTCCTYCTCCTTATTTTATAGCTCTTTTTCTGGATGATCCAGGGCCAGCTGGGTGCCAGGGAGCCACTACCTTGGATTTAGGTGCCTATGTGCTTTGCTTGGATCTGGCCAAAAGCATTCAATGAAACACATACCAGCCAGGGAAAAAATACATTTTGCATGATATAGCCCAACCCAGTAGTGCAAACAATCTTGTGAGTGACGTTTTTCATGCCTGATAGACTTCCTGTTATTCTTGCTATTTAATATTACAATTAAGGAGGACTGGTGAAGGTGCTTGCTGGTTTGAGCCTCCTGGCCAGCACGAGCCTGCTAGCGGGAAAAATACCTGTGTTATGTGGACATCCATCAAAATGTGATTGAGAAAGGAAGCATAAGTGATCTATCTCTCAATAGGAAGCAATAGTAAGCTTTTTAAATGTATGTATTAAGAAAAAAAAATATTAAAAATTCATTGCAAAACTTAAGTTAGTTTTCATCACTGAGGAGAGAGTCAGAGATTCTCACTCTGTTTGTAGCCTATGGGCTAGGYTTTTTGTTAAGCATTTTGATTTTGACCACTCCATAAACTGAAGTGCTCCTTTCCCCSCCACAATTTCTTCCTAAATTTACTTATTGCTTCTATGACTGCAGGACTCTTAAAGGATATTCCTTCTCCCCTGGCACCTGATTTCTGCTGGTAATTGGATTCTGTGTAAATTCCTGTTTTCAGGTAGGTGTGCTTTAGTTATTGTAGCCAGGAGTGGATTAATTTTACATGGGCTTTTTGGTAGTCTTAGATTACGCCACTTGTGAGGTAATTTTATTCTAAAAAGCATTGAGGAGGCC